ATTTTTTTTTTTTGTGCTTTGTAGCCAATACAATAGGGAGGGATCCCAGGATGTAAGCCAATAAATTGCTAAGATCCACTTTGAAAAGCAAAGCTAAAATGCCTATTACATTGTGTGGCTGAGTCAGAGGGAAGTACAATACTTCAGTAGCTGATATTATTGAGCCTTATCTTACATGAAGTATCTAGGGGCAATTAGTGGCAGAAGGAGTCTGTGGCGTATCAAAGCTCAGGAAGCTCTGATCGTTACAAAACTATTTGATATCAACTTCTTTAGCTGCCATATTTTTACTGAACTTTGATTTGTAAATACGCCAGTTGATAAATTCCCATTTCTAAAGAACCCGGCTGGTCCTCTCTTTGTTATGTATAACTAAATATGACTTGAAACCACATCAAATATTGAATTTAAAAATGCAGTTAAACTTAGAGGTCATGTATTTAGAGAGAGAACAAATTCTTCGTATGACAAAATGTTCATTATGTTTTTGTTCATCTCTGCTATATATATATGGTCATAATATTTGAGTATTTTAATTTGTGTGTGCACTAGAGATTTTTAAAATACAGATCTACTCTAGATTAGCAGTCAGTGTCCAGATAGGCTGTTCAACATCCTTATGTTTTAAGACCTTAAAGAGATTTAATGGTTATAGATGTTTTATATGTTAATACTTCCCGTCTCCCCCACGCTTTAAGATTAGCTAGGTGATGCTGGGATATTCATTGTAGATGAAATGCTCCCCCACTTGAGGGCCACCAAGAGATTTCTGCACCACTTAAACTCTGAAAATAAGGCTTACATGGGGACTTAAACTATGTACATATCTAATCCTTGTGTAGGTCTTCATCTAGCAACCAACATTCGTGAATCACAGCCTCAGTTGTACTAGTGAATCTAAGCACAATTTTCTTTCTTGCTAATTTCTGTTATTGGATATTTGTATCAAGAGTATCTAATTATTAGTTGCTTGCAAAAAAAAATAGATGAGAGAAAACATCAATGATTTGTTCTAAGGTCTGACACCCCTTAAAAAAGAATAGCACATCATAACTCCATTAAAATATAGTAGTATTTTTACTTATCCAAAATAAGTAACACATTTTAATTTATATTTCTCTCATCTCTTTGCTTCCTTTGGACAGGTTGTTGTGAATAAGTATAATTTCCACTATATAGGTATGGGCCCAAGGTCAGATTCGCAGCTCAAGTTCTAAATGTCCATTGAATTCAAAGGAGTTATACTAATTTACACCTGCAAAGAATCTGGTACGTCTAATACATGTCACTGTATTTCCTCTATTAGTCCTAAAAAGAATCAGGAAAGGCCAGATTCCCACTTGTGTAAATTGTCCACTGACTTGACTGGAACCACCATACAGTGACAACCCTTGCAAAGCTTGACAACAAAGTAATGAATTGACACATGATGGACCCGTGCTTTTAAATTTCAAAGTGAAGCAACTTTTCCAATTATTTATCTTTTGTAAAGCTACCTACATAAAGGCCTTGCAAGTTAATGTCAAGCAATATTTTTCAAATCTCTAAGCTTGTTATAAAACCATATTCAAGCCTTACTCGTGGATCTTCTGTATGTTATTAATGTCTTACCCCCTTAAAAAAAAGGGAATCTAATCCAGCTGTTGCATTTCAGTGTGACTATTAACTGCATAGTTATAAACCACTCAATCATGCAATGCTAAAAGGCCCTTACAAATAGTGTGGTACCAGACATGGCTATAAATAAGTGCT